TATATTTAATCTGGACTCAGATTAACTGCACTGAATTTTTTTTTCCTTCTGCATCTAGCTTTATTACTAAAGTGCCATTAAATCATAAACGTCTGTCACCGTAATACCAATGGCCACAGAGTTGCTGGTAGCTGATCAGTGAAGAGTCTGTCTCAGCTCACCCCAATTTCATTCATTCAACAATGCACTTAGAATATCAGCAGCTAGTCAATCTGAGCCTTGAAAAACAACTCATGATAGCTGAAAGTTTGAATTTCAAAGGGAGTAAACCACAGAGAGAAAAAAATACCAATGTATTAATCAGAATCTGCTTCTAATCAGAAAAAACAAGTCTTATTCCGGATCTATCCAGGAACAGTGATGAGAGGTTGGCATTCTAGTTGAACATTTAACAGCAAAAAAAAAAAGATTAAACGTTGTACTATATCATGGAAAAACAAAGAAACATGTTTCACCAATGCCATTTAAACGAAGCAATAATCACCATCATCATATTACATTAAGTAGAACTTTTAATCACTCCATTCCTATTTAACTATATGGAACAAAGTACTCAAACTGTTCAAAAGTTTAATACTAGTAGTAAAGAAAAATACTCTTTCTACTGAAACTGTCAAAGTAATTCGAAAATGCAAAATACAACTATTAAAATATATATTGGTCAGACCATCAGAAATGCTATTAATAAAGACCATGTGTTAAAAAATTCTGCTTTTTTTTTTAAATTCTATTTTGAAGATATTCTTTCCTGATAACCTAGTCTACTAAAAAGGTACCAGCACATTGCTTTTGACCAGTCTGAGAAGCACTTCTTGCTACTTCAAATTAAATCTGTATAAATCACCGTTTCTATTTCTGGAAATATTGCAGTATCTTTTTTTAAGTCCTAGAAAGTGTTAAGGCAGCATTTCAAGTATATTTGGGATCTTGTAGACCATTTTGAAGCTGTCTGCCTAGCACAGCAGGAACCATTTGTACCATTAGCTGTTTTGCCTAGCAAATAATCAGTGAGCTCCTAAAAAAAATGCAGCCTTGCCAGCATGAAAGGAATTAGACCTTTTGCTCAGGAGGAAACTGTACTGCTTTCAGCTTCTGTTCATAGACTTAAAATTCCTTTTGCTTTTAATCTCTGTCCCTTTGCACTTTCTGCATCACTATGAAATTTTTAATATTAGTGATAAAATTGTTTAGTCCTGTTACACATGTTTATTTGCATCTATTCAAGGATCTCTGCAGGATGTAAAAATAATAGGATAAACAGTATAGCATTCGTAGTAACAGTAACAGTATCTTTTATGACTACATAACATAGAGATAGAGCATCATTAATGTGGTACAGATACTGGAGCTTTAATCTTCTAAGATTAATAGTTTGTAAAATCTTGAAAACTACATATTTTCTTTATGTATGTGATGAGCAGTATTGGTCCAAGTAGGTCTTAATAAGTGGTGATGGTGAATTTCTAATTAAGTTTGGCATAACTATTCTGAAAACTATTAAAGCATGCATCAAAGGTGGGTTTATCAGGTCAGTTCCTCTGTCTGTGTGAGAGCAAGCTTATGAGAATACAACGATCTAAGAGTTGATATGCCAAAAATAGTATCTGGGCACTAGAAAAAGTTGTAATGAACAGAAATTCAGGACTACCTCGAGTACTGATGCTGGGATTGATTTTTCACTGTATTGTGTCAATGAATTGGCAAAAGAAACATGTTAAAGGATGATGAAACTTTTTAAAAGTCCATAAGTGATCAGAAATGGAAAATAGAAACATGAATCAAACCAAACTAAATATTTTAAATTTTTCACATATCATTCATAGTTTGGGTAAGGTGCATATTCATAAGGTAGTGTCAATCTTTCTGTCTGCACAACTGCAGAAAGCCCTGAAAATTTGATGGAAGTTGGGAAATTAGACACAGAAAACAATTGCTTTATCCACTAGGAGTAGGGGCCAGTCATGATCCTAAAAAGAACTGATGACCACTGAATCTATATGGGTTTGATTGTCTGTCTTCCCACTTCTGCCCAAATAAGGGAAAGTTTTGGAGGTTTTGCAATGCCATTTCCTAGTTTCAAACAGAACACAGAAGTTTTTGTGTAGATGATTTGTCCAGAAATCTCACAGTCTGACAGTACCATGAACCTTCTCTGGCTGCTCTGACCCCACAAAAAGCCTATTCATAAATCACTTTTGCAACATATTTTAATCCCTCACATTAACTGTAGTTCAAATGAGCTACCAGGCAGTCAAACCTTAATCTCAGCTAGCAGAAGGGGATCCCCTGTTTTTTTTCTAGCATGACTCAATTAGGTAACAAGACAGAGAGAAAGAAGTGCAGAGACACAGAGAAATCCTGTCATCTGCCAGTTAAGAGGCTCCTGCCTTTAGGGGTTTTCCCTCCAGAGGTAGTGTGATCATTACAAAACTGTTAAACAATATGATGGGTTTGAACTCTTAGCTCAGAGAGATATATACGAGCTGTGTTGGAGCTTCCCATGTCTTCTCAGAATTTCTTTATAATTATTGTGCCTGTAGTATCACAGTCAAACTCAGGCTGAAATGTCTTTCCAGCAGATTTCTTCAGAATTATTCTGTCAGAAAAATGAAAACTGTATTTCTATTGTTGATTACATGAAAATTAATCTGTGTACAGCATCTAATAGGTGGTATCATTACTTAAGATCAAAGAAAGCCCCCCTAAATTAGCCTTTTTTCTTTTTGATATGTGGCTTGAAGATACACATGCGGTCATGTCTGTTTTCATCAGAATATTTTCCCTAGCATCAGTATAAGAAACTCTGTTTTAATGGTAATGACAGTGTTTTGGCCTAAAATAGATTGATTAGCTACCATGGAGACAAAGTTCATTTCTACCTCTTGATAGAAATTCTTAATTTGCCTTTATTAAAAATAATTGACTGATTTTAACTTCCTAAAAACTTTTCCTTAAGAAATAAAAAGGAAAGATAAATACATTTGAAATTATGAGCGGGTTACTTTCTTATTTGAGTTACACATTTTGTTGCCCAAAATATCCTTAAGAAGTCCTAATAAGTGTCCCCACTAATGTTCATAAAGCAGTTTACTTTACAAATTCAGAACCTGTTAATCTGATCCCCACCCAAAACAGCAAGTTTTGAGGAGATGAAAGACTTCATCCATTTCATGTAACCAACTGGATGCTATCAGGTTCTTCCTTTTGCACATACACCAGAGTAATCTATGGATTATTTTCTCACTGTTATATGCAATACATAGACAAGCATATATATATATATACAAGCGTAAAGATAAGTACATGAAAGTAAACTGTTTCACAACCTTTTATATTGCTTAAATATTTAGAGGTAGCAAGTGGTTTTCAGTTTCCACTTATTTTTTTCTTTTCTTGTTTTTAGCAGTAGTCCACTAGATTTTCAAATAACTACTACTTGCATCCAACAACTGAGAATATGGATTTCTTTTATTTTGCTATGAAAACAGCAGTATACTTCACATATATTTCTGAACAAGATTTCACAAGACCTCATTGTTATAAAATTCATCAGTATAAAATTAATTAAAAAAAATTTTATGCTTTAAAATATTTAATGATTGATCAAGAAGCTATTGATGTTATACTTCCAATGGAAATCATCTCAATTCTGACCTTAAGACCATTCTTTATATACAGAGAATCATTTAAAATCAGGTGTATTATGCCTACAGAGTATCCATCATACATTTTTTTTTGAGTTTCTTTAATCATCTCAATATGCCACAGGAATTGTGGCATCAGCTTTAGTAAGGTAGATGGATGGACAATTTCCCACACATATATCAGTAGAGTATATTTTTTTAATGTAAAGACACTGTGTCACAGATGAAATTTGACATTGCTAGAAGGAAAAAAAGGTATGTATGTATGTATTTCAGGCATGGTTCATAAATAAATACTTTTGCCCTACCATAACAGGTGACAACTTTAACTCAAGAAGTCTCACAATTACGTAAAGATATGAAGAATGTGATGCACCTTCTGGAGAACCTGCTCACATCCCAGAAGCCTCCAGGATTCTGTGCTGTGCACAGCATATCTCGAAGTACCACACTGGATAGTCTGCAGTCTCAAATGGCTTGGACTACACATCAGCCTTGCTCACGCATGCAATCTGGGAACTTCACCTGCACCAAAGCACAACTTTGCCGTGGAAACACGTTATGTGACATTTGGAATACAGATCTGTCCTCTGTAGGCAGCAGTCCCCAAAGGACTGAACCCAACCCGCAAAATTCTACGGATGGTGAATTTTGTTATACAATGGGCCTGCAAAATTCTCCCTCACAGTATCAGGTAATGCAGAAAGACAATCTGCAATTTTTAAGATGCACCTCTCCCCATTCAGACACTACCCTGACTCCTCTTCAGTCTATTTCAGCAACTCTTTCTCCTTCAGTATGCTCTTCATCAGAGACATCGTTACACCTCGTGCTGCCCAGCAGATCTGAAGAAGGTAGCTTTAGCCAAGGAGCAATCAGTTCACTAAGCCTTGAGAACCTGCCAGGATCGTGGGACCTGGAAGGAACAACCGGAGTAACTTCTGCACAGACCTCCAATTTCCCAATAGACATTGTGACAAGCACAAAGGATGTTAAAGATAAAGATTACCAAGCCATAGATGTATGAGAAACAGTGAAGTGGTACTCAAAGCATGTTCCACAGCAGCGAGTTTTAAATTTAGAGTACTACATGACTGCTTTATTTGATCTCTTTTTTGGCAATCATGGAGATTACAAACATGAGAATTCAGATTTATAGAAAGTAAGAGAAGATAATGTTGGTTCATACTATAGGAAAAACAATAAATTTCTAGATTCTAGAAGCATGTTGAAAAACATTTTGAATACAGATATAACTTACTTGTCTGTTTGACAGACTATTGTGATAGTCCAAAGACCCTGAGGGTCAGAGTAGCTGGAAGTCTAGGACAAAGAACTGTCTTGGGTGGCTTTTGTTCATCGAAGCAAAGGTTTTCCCCGAGTGTCTGACTGTTGTTCCCAAACAATATCTATGGCATTGTTTGCTTCAGGTGATCGTGGGTCCTGCTGGTCTTTTTGTCAGTTCTGTGAAGGCAAAGGGACAATATTCGCTGCATGTCATCTAGACAATCAACCAAATAGAGCTGCTAGAGAGTGGTTAGTTGCTGCACGTTATTTGTCATGTAAATGAAACCTCTTAATTTATCTAAAAATACTATTTTTATATACTTGGTATGAAACGTACTTAAAAAGGATTTAAAATATTTATAAAAAGAGTAAGAGTTTGGTTTCATTTTGGTAAAAGCTTGCAGTTTTAACAAAAAATGCACTACCATCATGTATTAGATCAAATACTATTTATTGTTAAGATATTATGTAGTTTACAAATGGATTCGCTTTTATGTGCATGCAATTTGCAATGAATGTATTCATTCTGGTGAAATACAAATAAATTAAGGTATTATTTTATTTAAAAAAATAAAACAGCTGGAATGTTGTATCCTATAATAAGCTATCACTACTTAAAAAACAAGGTGTTATACTGATAACATTAAGTAGTCTTGGTTTGTGTCTTACTAGTGCACTGTCATTTAGAAGACCAAGTCAACATTTTACAAGACATCCCTGTTTTGGGATTTTATACCTAGATAAGAAAATTAAGAGGGATGAAAACCATTGAGCAAAATAAGGAATATTAAAGGAGAAAATTATAATGGTTTAGTCAGAATCAAATAACTTAAAATAGTTTTTTATTATTTATTTGATGATTTTTTGCTTATATCTGTAAAAACTATCTTTGACCTATAGTCAAGAAAAAAAAAAGATACTATAGGTTTGGCAAATTATTTAATCCAGAAATAGATTTAATGCCCAAGGGATTTTTTTTTCCAGTATTTATATACTAGAAATGCATTGCTACTGTGTAACCAGCGCAACTGCCTTATTTTTTTCCACTGTAATTTTGATTTATACATTTAAAGATGCTCAGTATGCAACATTTTTACATGTTCTTTAGCAAGCTTTCTAAAAAGACCATGCTTACAACCCAAAATAAGTGTCCTAAAATGGATAAGTCAATTAAGTTTCATTTAATAATCAATGTAAAGGGTGGTTATCAAATTAAATTTTTACAGAGCACAGATTTATGTTTAGCTTCCTGAAGAGTTTTTGGTTTTTTTTATGAAAACTTCAAAGACTAAGTTAATCGTTAACATTTGGACATGTGCAGGAACACAAATCCCAGATTGATACTCTGTGCCCAACTTACATCCTTTCACATCCATTTTCCCACTGATACAAATTAGGGACAGAGTGTCGTCTCTCTGTTTGAGCTGCCTGAATTTTGTCAGTGTCTACACTTCGACATGAATGTTTTTATAAAGGGTTTCTTACTTTCCCTCTCTTCCAGTTTTTGCTTAGTTTAAGGTTAAATAGAGAAATGCTGGTTAAATGAGGCATATCCCAGAAATAAAAAAAAAATTAAAACAAACGAAACCAAAACCAAACCAACCAAACAAAAAACTAATAGTAGCAAATATAGTAACAAAGACAAGCCTATGGTATTTCTGCAAACAATCCTGTCTGTAGCTACCTGCCATCTCCCACAGTGCCGAGCAGGAGGCTGGGGCTGGGGGAGGCTGCCTGCTCTCCACACCCAGGGCAGGTGCACACTGGCAGAGCCCCATTTGCCAGAAGCTCAGTGGTTGTGTGGCACTGCCTTGCCTCAGCAGCCAGGCAGCACACCGTACAGCCATGGCCCTCTCCTGAACTCACCATGAAGGACAGATGCTGGTTCCTTGGGATGCACAGGCACATGCAGCACAACTGTCCACAAATCCTCATTCTTCACTGCCAGCCTCTTCATACCACACAAGATAACCTGTCCTCAAACTCTTGTATTAATGAAATACGCAGGCTGATCTAAGCTCGCTGTATCCCAGCTATTGACTGGGGCTGCACAAGCATAAGGTTGTCTAACATGCGTAGTTCCCAATATCATTTAACAATTTCCATTACATATAAAAATTGACAGCAGTGTTTGCTTTCGCATTTTATGATATATAAAGCATTATGTACATGCTTGAAAGTTTTGATATTGTTTTATGATTTTCCAGTATAAACACTGGTGTCATAAGATTAAAAATAGATGGGGGGTTTTTCTGGAGTTTTTGTGTTAGTTTTGTATGAAAGTTTAAAAAGATCAGTGCAAACACCAAAAAACCACTTTGCATAAATAGCCATAACTTTAATGTTGTACATTTAATTCTTCAATAAAAAAAATGCATGTGCACTAATTGAGAATAGCACCAGGATATGTGTCCTAAGTAGCTCCTTGTTTCTGCAGCTGTCAAACACATCTAAACAAAGCTGGCAAACACTATGTCATTTGTATTGGCTATAGTTTCAAGGAATTTACCTGAATTGCACAGACTGTAAGATGGGCATCACACAGGTGAGCATACTGCCTCCAGGGAAAAGCTCAAGCAACTTCAGACAGGACAAGTGTTCATTTCAGGTGTTATGGTTTAACCCCAGCCAGCACCAAGCCCCATGCAACCACTCACTTCCCTCATGTCAGAATAGGGGAGAGAATTGGAAAAGTAAAATCTGGAAAACTCATCCATTGAGATAAAAAATAGTTTAATAGGAAAAGCAAAAGCTGGGTATGCAAGCAAAGAAAAACAAGGAATTCATTCACCACTACTCATGGACAGGCAGGCGTTTAGCCATTTCCAAGAGAGCAGGGCTCAATCATGCACAAGGGTAACTTGGGAAGACAAATGCCATCACTCCAAATATCCCTCCCCGCCTTTTTCTTCCCACAGCTTTAATGCACTGAGCATGACATGATACGGCATGGAATATCCCTTGGGTCTGTTGGAGTCAGCTGTCCTGGCTTGTGTCTCCTCCCAGCTTTTTGTGCACCACCAACTCCCTCGCTGGTGGGTAAGGTGAGGAGCAGAAAAGGCCTTGGCTCTGTGTAAACACTGCTCAGCAATAACAAAACCACTTCTATATTATCAACTCTGTTTCCAGTACAAATCCAAACCATTGCCCCATACCAGCTGCTGTGAAGAAAGTTAACTCTATGCCAGCCAAAACCAGGACACCTTGTCCAAAATCAAGTAAGGAAAGAGGTCAGCAAAACAGAAACCTGGACTTGAAGGGTTGTTCTGTTTTAAAATCCCTGACACCATTATATCATGAAAGTCCCAGAAAAAGAATCCCCCAAGCAGGTTTTATTGAAAAATATCTGCAACCAATGCAGCAAATTTCAGTTTTGAAGGTAAAATGACAATTCATAGGGACAAATGTGAAGGCACATACATTTGAAATGGAATGGTAATTTCCAAGCAGGATTACCATGAGCATATTAGTTCTACACACAGAGTGGCCATTAAGGATACCTGGGATTGAAACAACAACCACTGTAATATTCACGTCACCCTCCAAAGGTCCTCAGTATGAACATCAATACAAGCATCCTATACCCTAAAATCCAGCTGCCCAGCTCAGACAATTTACTTTATTTCTTTTTACACTAAGCTTTAAAGAAATAGAATTATTTTTTGTTCGGGATTGTTCTTCCCATCTAATTCTGCATCAGTTTACTTCCCAAATTTGTTACATTTTCTTCCTTTCTTGCATTTTCCATCAGTCAGTTTCTTCTTCTATACAATAACTGTAATTTCTCTTTATTTACTTTTCCCCTCACTTTTTTTCCAACACTCATTCAGTTCTATATCCCTTTTATAACTTCATCAAACTCAACCATGTCTTTCCTCATTTCCTGGTGGTTTTTCTGTTAAGAATCATCCCAGGTCTGCCACTAATGAACTAAATGGTTACTAAACTCAATCATGCAACAGGACAGCATATTTAGTCTCTATCAACAGTCAAGCAGTAAACCACCAGTCTCTAACCAAAATCTCTTGCACTACTATACTCTTACAATGGTGCAGTCATCTCCACTGGCAATGGAAAAAAAAAATTGAAAAAAATAAAGACACACTGAAAAAAAGAAAATAAAAAGAAAAGTAGGAAACCCCACTAGTTTTCTTCTGTCTTCTGCTTTTATAACTTCAGATATATTATTAAAGATGTGTATTTGTGTTGTGCTCATGGTAACTACTAGATTCAATTAACACAGCTTACCATAAATTCTGCAAATACTCCTCATTTTTTTACAAGTCATACCCAGCTCTTGTGATAACCTTGCTTTGACATTGCTTGGTTATCTACCACAAATAATTTACTCTCTAATTAGTCCATCTGCTAACTACACCTGAGATTTCAAAATATTTTCCTTTACGAGGCAATTTTGTGGCACACTGCGTCAATAGTCTCACCTGGTAGTTTGCAAAAAATCCTGTGTTTCAGAAATTAAGTTTTGGGATGCAACAAACTGTTCTGAACCTTTTCTACACCTTCTTCCCTTAACCTGAAAGCACTTGGTTTCCACATCCCTCTTAGTGGGACACATTTTAGATGTTTCATGCTGCTGTGACTACCACAGGAAGTGCACAATCACATACCCACGTTCTAGAAAAAGACTTCTAACAACTTACCTCAGCCTTGAAAGAATGAGGCCGTAGCTGGGGCTTTAGACAGCAGCTGAGTGAGCAATGAGAAAAGGAAAAGGGCTGATGCTTGATTTCCCCGCTCCCTCCCCTGCTTCAGTAAGAGGAATTTGCACAGCTGTCATCAATTCCAGAAGCCTACGTGGTACTAAGTCTTCATTCAGAAAATCAAATATTTTATCACAAGAAATCTAAGCCCATCTCCTTTAGTACCTGCAAATAGTTAAATCCTGTCAAAAAAACCTGCATAGCTGGAAGTTTCTTAGATGATGCTGCACACAGAATCAGTTTTATCCTTTCAAAGTTGAGCATAGAAATCATATCATCATTCCCAAACTCGCCACTGACCTCCTCTGTACGTCATAAAATTCTCTTCCCAGTGTCTCTTCATTTCTCTTACCACACACTGTCAGTGGCAACAACAATGACAAGAAACAAAAATTTCCAGCTTCAAAACCATGAAGAAATGCCACAGATCTGATCCTTTCATTTAAAGAAACTGGTTAATGAAAGGAAAATTTTATTTCCTATGTACCTTGATAGCGGAGTTTCCCAGTCTCTGGAAATCTCTCAAAAGAAGAAAGTTTTTGAAGGTTAAGGGTTTAAAGACTCATGTCAATCAGAACTTGGAACCACAGGAGTTGTGCAAGAAGAAAAGTAGTACTTTCCTCTTTCAAGTTGTTTTAGAGTTTAATATTTACTATGTAGTTTTACATTTGTGCCTTGATAGTGTGTTTTAAGTCTAGGCATTTATTTGTGGGAGATTAATACTTGAATTCATTCTCTCTTCACGGATCTTCTGAAACTTGCTAAATTTTTGCCATGGTAAATTCAAAGGTCTTATACATGACCAGGAAATGGCCTGGTACAACAGAGGAAAGGTAGAAAAAACTAAAAATAGTAAAGATCTTTATCTTCATCGACTCCAAGTTGTACAAATTATGTATTACAATGGTAAGTGGCTAGTATCATAGAATCATAGAATCAGCTGGGTTGGAAGGGACCTCCAAGATCATCAAGTCCAACCCTTGATCCACTACCGCTGCGGTTACTAGACCATGGCACTGAGTGCCACATCCAGTCTCTTTTTAAAAATCTCCAGTATGTTTTAAATTATAGAATAAAATACCAACAGAACTAATCTCACATGAAATAAATGTTCCATTAACTGGCTTATGAGAAGCATTGAAAAGAAACATTTCCTCAGTTTTCCAATTTTCTGATCCTGGATGCTTTGTTATAACCTCACAGATTCAAAATACTCTGATAAGGTCCCTAAAAGTTACAACTTCAGACAACTTTTTTAATTCATTTTTTCTATACTCCCCTTTGTTCTATTATATTGATTTCTCCCAAAATGTAAGGGCTAGAGACAGTGCAGGAGTTAATTAGCACTGTTGTAAATTATAACTTTAGGAACTACTGCACTAAGGACCCTGTGGCATCACAAACATCACAAAGAAAATGCTCAGAAAAAGGCAAAACTAGAGCTTGCTCAGAAGAATCCTAGAGTCTTACAAAACAATAGTGAAAGTATTAAGTAAATCAAAAAAGCAGCAGATTTCTCATGGAAATGTGCGAATATAAAGAAAGACTTTTTTCAAAATTAAAAGCTCACATTTAGCAGTCCACACATTGTCAGGATTGAGGACAGTCAGTGCAAATTTCCAGATGTCTAAGTCCACCTTATCTGCACTTAAATTTCACATTTCATATGTAGTGGGTGATGCTTTATGTATGTATTCACCTTGTCCTGGCCTACTTGTTAATTATTCTGATTCCTTGTTTTTAGCATATTCTACCTCTAATCTCTTCATGCAATTAAATGGACTACATCTTCCTTTGCTCGCCCTGATACAACACAAGATAACTGAGTTACCCACATCACTTGGAGATTTTTTCTTCATTATGCACATTAAAGATTTTGCTTCTTGTTCAAAAAACTCAAAGCTTCCTTCAAGAAGGAGAAAAAAACCCTCACCCACTGTTAACCACCCTATGTACAAACAATCAAATCCCACGCACTAGTTCCTTTTTGACTCTGCAGTCAGACACAAGACAAAAACAGCAGCACCCTGAGACAAATTGGAAGCACAAGCCTCAATAGACAGTAACTTTACAGACTAATTATGCCTTTTTAAAGGCCAACATTGTCAATCATTTACTTCCTAAATTTCCTTGAATGATTTTGTAACTTAACACATATATCTAGTGCTGCTGGATTCTTTCCCACCCCTACATGCAATGATCCACAGAAATACAGCTCATATTCTTACTAGAAAAATGCCAATGTTATTTCAGTAACCATGCAAATGAATTTTAAACAGAATTTTAAAACCTGTAGTATGGAAAAAAAAATTAATTTATTGCATTATACTTGTTTAAAGGAAAGCAAAATGATAACCACACAATAAAAAATATTTTTCATCTCTCTCCTGTTAGTCTCAAAATGTTTTCCAAAAGTAAGTAACAAAATTCTGCTCTGCATCATTGCTTACATGAAATTTTGGGAGAGGGGGGCATGACATGGGCTGGACATGAACACCACCACCAACGCAGACATTCTCTGAATGCTACACTATCTCATAACAACATTTTAAAATGTTACTGGGTCATGCTTGTCAAGCAGCTGTTGCATGTCTAAAGATGTGCAATCACCTGCTTATTTTTTTCACATAGAAAATTACCAGTTTGCACTACAGATTTGCCACAGAATCTCTGATGAATGTATATATAGAGTGTACTAATAGCTACTGGAACTTGTACCACATCAGAGAATTTTCCTTATTCCCTGCCTCTCCAACATGAGGCAAAATGATTTTTTTTTAAAAAAAGAAAATTTCTAGTTAGTCTTTTTTAAAACATTATAATTTCATTAGTATCCTTAATACTCTCCTTTAGGACTAAATTATCTATAAACAGCAGCAGCAAGACAAGTATAGAGCATCCAAGGTGAGAATCTGCCTATTCCTGATGTATACCAGTATGCAAACATAAGCATTCTGTTGGTAAGACCAGAGTCCTTCAGCAACCGGCTGTTATGAAAAGCTTGTTTCTATACAGTTACTTACTAGCAAAAAAAATGAAACAGGAGATTGTAAAAACTCTCAGGGACATATAATAATATCCTCACTAGAACCATAGCACAGCACACAGTCTTTTGAAGTGTTGGTCGCCCTTTGCTTCAATAAGAAAATTGTATTTGAGAATAAATGGCATCATGTGGAGCTCCGTTTTGCAATTATTCCCATTGCAGTAGAAACTGGACTACCTAAAAGAGTTCAGAGGTCTGTTGTATTCATCACAGTATATGGAGATAATACAAAGTTTGAGAGCTTTCAACCTAATAAAAAAAGAAGTAGCACAAAGAAGAGAAAAAGGATCATAAAAATTTATCCAAGGTCCCACAATGACTTGCAGGGAGGCAGGAGCAGAACAGCAGGTTGCCTGGGCTTGGGTTCCTCTGCCCAGTCCGGCATCAGCTGGCAGGGGTGGACTCCCTGCCTGCCCCACTGCCTGGCAGTGGGGGAGCAGTGTGAGATGCACCAGGAAACAGAGCTCTGGAAGAGCAGAAAGTCTTTCCAAGCACTCATGCTGAAGGATGCCCAGCACTATGCTTTGTACAAAGAGTACCTACAAACGAGACATATGGCAGAGTTGTCTGTGGTGAGGACTACGTAGCACAGCAGTTTCTGTAGCTGTACTTATTAAGTTTCTGAGAGCAGGTGCTTGAATTATGCCAGCCAGTTTGATAATTAATTAGCCTCTTCGTGTGTGCAAGGTAGAAAAAAATGAAGTCTCTGAAGGACTTGCATAAGGTTTATATCACACCTGCAATCTCAGGTGAGCAGAACAGCAGAGCAGCCCTTTCCCTTAAACTGCCATCAGACATAAAAATCACATCTGAACAACACCTGTGAATTTTAGTGCCTGTGAGGATAAAGTTTGCCTCAGTCAAGTATTTTCAGGGGCAAGAAGGCAGACAATGTGTTCCAGCAATACACAGTACACCTGCTGACTCTGCACATACAGCAAGCCTCACTTCTGTCACAGTCAGCCTGGCAACCACAGGCAGTCAAGTCATTGAGAGACATTTTACATCCTGTGCTTTCACTTCTTCTATACCTTTTCCCCCAGTCATTGTGCAAGCAGTAGTTGGAAGACCCCAGACCCTATCTGAAACCAGAACAAGCTATAGCTAGGGAAACGCTATAATCAAAACTAAACAAACTGGAGGCAGGGGGAGGAAGGAAATTTTGTTCAATGTTGCCTCTCAGTGTATTTTTTGTATGAGTTAATGTACACTGAGGCACTCAACCAGGTAAGGAAAAAGCTAATTGCTTTGGAATGGGAAGAGGTTCCCCCAAAATCAGCAGCAATTATGTCCTTTACAATTATTTATGGCCAACATTCATGTTTGAAATCAGAACAAATTCAATATTGTTAACAGAGCTGGATGACTCCGTGTTTAACTAATTTGCCAAGTGATGCTGAATAGGCCAACATAAACCCAAATGCTTGTGCGGATGAAGATGCTAAAACCAGAACCTGCCTCTAAAAACATTATTCTCTTTCTAGGAGTAGAGAGTTTAGATATTTTGTTATATCCTTGATTTGAAGAAAAGCAACTTAGGTTCAACCAGCTTCAGACTGTCATATGCATATCCTTTCAGACATTTATTTTCTGCTTAATTTAAACTCTCTACGTGTAGCCAGTTGGTTCAAGGTTACCTTCTGCAATGCCCCGGTTAGAAATCCAAAATAGACCTGGTACAGGACCTTCCTCTTGTTTTTTTTTCAGTGACCATTTGGTGATCAAATCTGCAAGCTGTTGTCTCTCCAACATATTTTTTGCCTACCACTGTTAGTGGCATTTGTTCTTCAAACTATATTTGAGGCATGAAAGTTTCCCACAGTGAAAGAGTCCCCAGTTCTCTTTCTTTCTCACAAATAACAGCACTGAACTTTCTAGCTACATACAAATCTAACCTAGAGAGTTTATGACAAATTCCCAATATTTTTAGGGTCCCTTGCCAACTCTAAGCTGAGTTCTGCAGGGTGGAAGAACAAATTTTTTTTTCAGTCATAAATGTCAGTGGCAGAAACTAATCTTTTTTTCCTTAACTACAGCTTTATTGTATTTCTCCAGCCAGGGTATGACTTTCATCCAGCCTGAGCTTTCCTGAGTGAACTCTTAATTCTTTATATTGATGTGAATCCATTTTCACTTTCTACCTTTCCATTACTCTTTGCTTTAAACCAGAATGTGGTGACTTAGAAATAACCTTTTTCCTCTCCACGGGACAGTTTTATGATCCTGAGCTTGTTTTGTTTTATCTTGTGTAAATTCTGTCATGTGAGCAACATTGGTATAAAATAAATGGCTTAATTGCAAGATAAAAGGAATTCATTGTCCTCTTCAGATTCAGGTAAATATGAAAACTGCTGATCTACACAGAGTGGAAATATATTATTTTTACATTGGTGCCAAATGAACACTAGTTTTATTATTGATTGTATGCATGCTAGGTGTTACAGACTTAATTTATGACACAGGTGCAAGGTGGCCTGGAACAATGTGCTTTGCAAATAATGAATATGAAAAGGCCATGAATTTTGGTTTTCTATTG